CATTTGCTTTTCTGACAACAAATTGTACAAGAAATTATTTAAAATTCCGGAAAGTCCACATCTGTGCAGATTGTCTGACAGAATTTCAATGGAAACTGAATCAAAAGCCCCCTTAATGTCCAAGAATACTGAAGCCAATTGCTCCTTGTGCGCAAAGGCCAGTTGAATATCTGTGGAAAGCAGCGCTAGACAATCGTTTGTTCCTTTGCTCTTGCGGAACCCAAACTGTGTATTTGATAGCAAGTTATTTGTTTCGACCCAGTGATCGAGTCTCCGAAGGATCATTTTCTCCAACAATTTCCTAATGCACGAAAGCATAGCAATCGGACGGTATGAGTTATGGTCAGACGCTGGTTTGCCAGGTTTTCGAATGGCTATTACTTTGACCTGCCTCCATTCAGGCGGTACAATGTTGTTTTCTAGCAAGGAATTGAATAAATCTAGCAAGCGTCTTTTAGCGATACCTGGGAGATTTTTCAGAAGATTGAATTTAATCATATCGCTTCCCGGTGAGGAGTTGTTCGATGAAAGAAGAGCCATAGAGAAATCCAGCATTGAGAATGGTCTATCCAGAGAGCCGCCGCTAGGAGACGCTTCTCGAAGAATATTTTGTGCTGGAACTGAGTCCGGACAGACCTTTTTAGCGAAATCGAATATCCATCGGTTGGAGTATTCTTCACTCTCATTAGAAGATGAGCGGTTACGCATGTTGCGAGCCACCCTCCACAAGGTGTTCATTGAGGTTTCTCGTGAGAGTCCCTCGACGAAATTGCGCCAATAACCGCGTTTTTTTGCTTTGATTAATTGTTTCAGCTTTGTCTCAAGCTTTGAATATTCCTCGAAGTAAGTGGAGGTTTTGTGTCTACGAAAAGCTTTGAAAGCATCAGATTTTTCTACATACAGTTTTGTGCATTCTTCGTCCCATCCAGGTGTGGCTGGTCTCCTTTTAAAGGGCGCACTTGGAACTTTTCTTTTTTGTGCTTCCAGTGAACTTTTGTAAATCAAATCGGCGAGGAATCGATATTCTTCCAATGGTGGAAGCGTATCTATTGATTCGGCACCGATTGTCACCGCCGTTGCATATTTATGCCAATCTATGTTCCTTGTAAGATCAAATGGAACCCGAGATGGTTCTGCAGAGTGAGGGGCACACTTAATTGAAATGATGATTGGCAAATGATCGCTACCATGGGGATCATTGATAACCTTCCACAGACAATCCAATGATAGCGATCTTGAACACAAAGATATGTCGAGTCGGCTTTCTCGAGCCGGAGGTTTTGCTATACGTGTCACTTCACCAGTGTTCAAAATAGTCAAGTTGAAATCGTCGCATAAATCGTAAAAAATAGCCGCTCTATTGTCATCATATAGATCGCCCCACCCAGTACCATGGGAGTTCATATCACCCAGAATTAATACTGGGGATGGAAGAATCGAAACTAGATTCCAGAGTTGACTACGGCTAATGGAGGTTCTTGGTGGAACATAAACTGAAGCTATGCAAAGGTCTTTGTTCTTCACATTTATTTGGCAAGCGACGATTTCGACGCCTGATAGAGCAGGAAGGGAAATTTTGTAGAAAGGGTAGCACTTTTTGATCCCTAAAAGTACTCCTCCATAAGAATCGTCTCTATCCAGGCGTATAATGTTAAAATCGTGGAAGTTGAGTTCTTCATCGGAAGAAAGCCATGTTTCACAGAGAGCAAATATATCACAATCAGAATTGTGAAGTAAAAATTTGAACGAGTCTAGTTTAGGCACTAGACTACGGCAGTTCCACTGTAGCACAGTGATCATATCTTCAACCTCGTTCGACGAATTATCCATCGAAAGATATGATTGATGCAAGGAGGGGCCATGAAACAGTCAATTGCTTAAGATATGATTCTAATGTTGGAAGCAAGGCAGAAACTAAGCTTCTAAGAGGGTCTTGTATGTTGAACATATTTAAAATGAATTCCACAATGTCCGAAAAATCTAGCAAACCTCGCTCGGACTTGGATTTCTTTTGAGAAGTTTGAGGAGCAACTTTATTATTTTTCTTATCTTTTTTGGGCAATGGTGGAAAATTCCTGCTGCATCCAGGGATTGGTTCAGCAGGAGCCTTCGGTTTCGTTTTTTCATCCCCATTACCCTGGGAATTTGCCAATCTTCTGGAGGTGACTTTAGTTTTCTTACGGCGCACTTTCGGGGAGGGGCATTTTCTTTTTGAGGATCCGTCCATTTTTGAAGGTGCGTGTACCACCGTAGAATCACCTTCATCGGATGAGTCAGAGTCCGATTCTTCAGCTGACAAAATCGAAAATTGGTTTGCATCTTGGACGGCTGATGCAGCCTTCACCATTTGAGCATATGTCTGCTTGGAGCGTCCTGAGATTGAACGCTGCACTTTATCGGAGTGCTGCTTGTACATCGGGCACTCCTGCGTTAAAAAGGAAATCAACACAAATTCGCTTAAATTCGGATTATCCATTCTTCATGCCAGGATTCGTATTTTTGAGACAATTTTACATCTTTCTTACAAGTTGCCGATCAAAAAATGGCGATTAACTGGCAATGAAAAGGAAATCGTCAAAGAAAGAAAAGAGCACATTCAAGAAAACTTCAGACAGACATTGGGACTCCTTGTGGATTTTCCAAAACCAGGCTTTGGAAATTCGAATGATGGAAACACTAGTCGAAGATTCCTTGCTGATCCGGAAACCGCTGCTCAAATAACAGGTGTTGATTTTAATTTGATCTACCGGCTTAAAGTTATATTGGAGACACTAGCTAGTGGTTTTAAAATTGATACGAAAAAATTTGGAAAATTTACTCAAGAAACAGCGGAGATATACGTTCGACTGTATCCGTGGTATCCAATGACTCCAACTCTGCATAAAATTTTAATCCACAGTACCATTGCTATAGAACATGCACTGCTACCAATAGGGCAGCTGTCAGAGGAAGCTATAGAATCGAGAAACAAATATTTAAGATTATACCGCCAAAATTTTTCCAGAAAGTTCTCAAGACAGGCTTGCAACATGGATGCACTGAATAGACTGCTGCTTAGTTCTGATCCTGAAATCACAGGTAAACAACGTAATGATTATCATACGTGAAAGTAAATAAATATTCTTTTAGGATTAAGAAAAATCCCGCAAAAAAAGTCAAAGGCATTGACGACAGAAACATTGCAAATGTTACTCCCAGAGGATCTCATCCGAGAAAGCGAAGATCGGCTGGAAAAATTAGAGATGGAAGAAACATATGAAACAGACGTTTCTAGTGAACAAGGAAAATGTGTTCTCAAATTCGGAATTACATTTTTTTTTCGTTTAATTTCATTTGTTTTTTTTTCTAGTTGTTTTGTTTTTGTTTTTGAATTGTTAAATATGTTGTTGCTGTATAATACTCGGTTTAATATGAGCATTTTCTTAAGGTAAAAGATGATGGAATCCATGAATGGCCGCCATTTTGTTTATTTTGCCTTATCACTTCGAGTTTTTGGCGGCACGAATCTCAGAAACTTCAAAGTTTTCGTGCATGAAACTGTAATGACATGTATGCTCTAGTGCAGGAAAAGAGCGATTATAATTTGGCACACGAAATCCTTTTAGTTTCTTAAATTTGTGCCGCCAAAAATTAGCGGCCATTTGTGGATTCCATTAATTTTCACCTTAAATCTCAAAATCAAAATATAAATATCTTGTTCTTTTTTTGCTGAACTCATTTCACAAAGACTGATTTTAAAACGTAAAAAAAAAATCTTCAATTTTTTATATTCTTATAAATGTTTACACCTGCGGCCAAGAAAATAGCACCATAGGCGGATTTTAATTTTAATTAGCCAACTTTTACATGATTTAATTTCGTTTTGTTATAATCAATTAAGCTGAAATTGTTATGAAGAACCAAACTATGGTGAAGTTTGCGTGTACGAAAAATAATTTAAAATGAGAATCTTGAAATATCTCTAATTTAAAAAATGCTATTATTTTAAGCATTTTTAACCATATTGTCAATTTCCGGCAGGAGTTTCAAAAAAGTTTCAAAAAGGCTTTTGTTCGCGCTAAATTCAGCATATTTGTGGTTCTGTGCCAAATTTCAGTTCAATTGATCATAACAGAACAAAGTAAAGCATGTCAAATTTGGTTACATTAACAAAATTTGCCCTTTGGTGCTTTTTTATTGACCGCAGGTGTAAGTGTTTTTTTTATATTTTATATTTAAAGTATTATTTGTTCCCAACATTTCATCCTTTGACGATAACTAAATTTAAAAAATGCTAAACGACTTACAAATTAAAAAAAAAGACATCATTATAACATGACCCGCTCCTCTCCAAAATACGACTCCACCCTTTTTTTTACCAAAAAAATGTTTTATCCTTGAATAAAAATGTATATGTGACAAGTTTGAGTGGCTAAATATTTTTGGCCAGCTAGAATTAATAAATACCCCACTGTGCGTCGGGATTTTCTGGAGCTGCCTCCCTAGCATCGGTAGCGTTGCTACTCAGTACAGAAAATAAGACAAGAAAAAAAAGTAGAAAAATGCTTGCTTAAGGTGAATGTGAGCAAATTTAAATATGAAAATGGTTATTTCCGAGACATCACTTCAGATTGCAAAAATTACTCGTCGATGTTTTCGTTTATTATTTCATTCAAATTTGGATTCGTCGTTTTGTGCTTAATTTTAACACGATGAGAGCTTTTACCAATCTGAAATGAAATGTCTGAGATAACCATTTTTGAAATTTTCATTTACTCACTAGGTCTCTTTCACCTTAATCGTTACCAAGAAGTCATTGAAGTTTCTCCTTGGCACTCCTAGGGTCATCCTGTCCATTCTCCTAAGGAATGTTTCGTTTTGCATAATGATGCTATCTCTGTTTCTATCATGAGGATTTTCTCTGCGTAGTGTACACATGTGTGTGTTTATTTAGATTTGTTTCTACAATTTATGTATTTACTTTTGTTGAAAAAAACAGTCGCTACCTACCAAAACTTTTATTAACCAAAGTTCAGCGTGTTGTTGACATAATCTACATTTTGATTAGCCTGATTAATCACTGTAAGCAAATAAAAACACAATAATCATCTTGTGGTACGTGGAATCAAGTAATGTTACTCACCAATAATTTTACCATTGTCCGTTGCCCTGTTTGTACTATCCCCATTGGTTATCGTTTGATCGTATCGATTTCCAATGCATTCCATGGTCATCCTTTGGGCCAGCGTACACTTGTCACAGGGAACTACATTCCGCACGTCGGCTATACATTGTGCCGCACTTTGATTGAAATCATCTTCATATCCACCGCACGCAACGTAGAACCGCTCCATGTTAAGCCCTTGCACGTCGTTGTACATTCCACTTCTGATCTGATAGCACCGGAACAGGCATCGTGTTTCCTGTAGGAGATACTCGGAATCCGCCAACAGCTCCTGCATCCGTTCCTCTGAGTGACCGAGCATGGCTCCACAATCCTTAATGATCTGCTGTTTTTGCAAAGCGGTAGTGCGTACGAACTTTGGCTCATCCTGGATCACCTGACCGAACTGATCCAGGTAGCACTGCACGGCCTCAGACGCTCGAAGGCACACCCTGTCCGGAGTAGCCGTCAACTCTTGAGCATGCAGACATCTCTGGGTACGGTTGCTGTTGCATCGATCGCTAGGATCCGGTTTATAGAAACGGTCGTAAACTGAAAGAATTCCAACTGTGTCGTTCCAGTCCCGAGTGATCAACGTTGTGCAACGAGCAAGACATTGGTCCGTAGTACCATATAGGGTACATTCTCTACTAGCCCTTTGAAGGCTCTTTAGGACGATCTTATGGTGGTCGCAAAATGCGATGGTTGTCAGGGCTAGGAGCACCAGGAAAATTCCGAATCGCTGCATTTCTGTTCAATGTTTTCTGTATTCCCGGTCAACACACAACTGTAAGCAGCCATGCAATTGAGCGGCCATTTAAGAGTTCACGCTTGAGACGCTATGGTGCCTTCAGTCACGTATTGCATTATTTGGAGGGTTGTTTACCATGGAATTTCCTCCCCTGTCGACCGTTGCGATACGGGAAACTGAGAAAAGTCACGTTGAGGTTTGTTTTATGGAAACGTTATTTATTTATAAATATGTTTATCTAATTTATTTGTAAACCTACGAACCAGGAATGAAAATTCTTGTTTATGCGTCAGTCAGGTGAGATCTACGCGTACTACAGGGATCAAAGGAAGGGAATTGTTTTTTGTTTGTTTTTTTTTTTTTTTATTTGAACCCATTGGCGTAGCTAGACAATTTATCTGGAGGGAGCCTAGCTAGTTCTGGAGGGGGCCTGGCCCCCTGGCACCCTCATTAGCTACGCCAATGTTTGAATCTTTTTTTTTACTAAAATTATGAAAGAACAGACTTAATGAATTATTTCACAAGAAGTGAAATTAAGGGAATGCGATTTATCGACTTATTCCGTTTATTTTGCCCCCTAATGTAACTGTTAGTGAAGCTGTTTCGGCTATTTTTTTTTTATTCGTTTCGTTGTGCTTAGAGCTTGGATTTCAAAATGGCATCAAACAAGAGTTTCTGGTCCCTAAACGTTACCCCGATTCAATATTGAGGGGTATTTGACAGAATTTCTAAGTTTTTCCCTACCCAGAAGCCACCATATTTGATTTCAAAATGGCGGCCGGCATCGATTTCCAGACTCTAAACGTCATCCTGATTTCAAAAATACCCAAATTGTGGGGTACTTGACTGTGTTTCCAAGGTTTTCTGTATCCGAAAACCGTCATAAAGGATTTCAAAATGGCGTCAGACCTGGATTTTGTCACCATAATTTTAATTGGGAACTACGCCGCTAGACGCGCTTCACTTTTATGTTACATAGAATATTTCGTGATCCTGGCCATATAGAAAGTTACTGTCTTCAGCAAAGTTGTTCAAGTGATCAAGTCCTTTCGTATGGTGGCCACATAAGTTCAGAACTCTCCCATTACACTCAAAAAATTCCACACATTTTTATTGACGAATTTCCATGTGAAATTCCACATGATTTTCATGTGACCACACATAAACAGAATCCACCCAGAAGCACACATGAAATTTATGAGTCAAATGAATAGTATGTGTGGTTAAGTATGTGTCCGACACATAAATATCATTTGTTGATCACATTGCAAAAATTCATGTGTGGGACACATAAAAACAATCTTTGAAATTTTATCAGTGTACGTAGCGCTAGTGTGCATGTGAACTTCCTATATAAGCTGTATCTCTAGAACCTGGCCATATAGAAAGTTGCTGTCTTGAGCTAAGTTGTTCAGGTGACCAAGTCGTTTTGGATGGTGTGTGTAAAGGGGATGACGAGTAGAGTCCGGAAATCGATACCAGACATCATTTTGAACTCCAAGATGGCGACCATCGGTTGAAGAAAAACTGTCAAGTACTATACAATATGGTTATTTCCGGAAAGTGAACGACGGGTAGAGGCCAGAAATCGATACCATTTGTTAATTAATTTCTTTAAAATCTCTGGTAGAAGGTCATCTCAAAACTGCTCGACTATATGATTAATTGAAAGTGTTCAGTATTGTCTTAACCAAGTGTTCAAATGCGATGAAACAAAACTGTTTTACGAAAAAAAAAACTCCACAAAGATCTTATGTCTCAGAAAACAATGCCGGGATCGAAAGGGGATAAAAAATGGTTCGCAATCATGTTTTGCTCTAACACGAAAGGGTCTCTGATGATGAAGCCGTTGTTTATACACAATGTCGCGAATCCAAGGGAAATAAGGACTACGATTGGAAACTCGGAACATGGAACTGCAAATCACTCGGCTTCCCGGGCTGCGATAGATTAATCTATGACGAACTTCAACCACGCAACTTCGAAGTCGTAGCACTGCAGGAACTTTGCTGGACGGGACAAAAGGTATGGAAAAGCGGGCATCGAGCGGCTACTTTCTACCAGAGCTGTGGCACCACCAACGAACTGGGAACCGGCTTTGTAGTTCTGGGTAAGATGCACCAACGCGTGATTGGTTGGCAGCCGATCAACGCGAGGCTGTGCAAGTTGAGGATTAAGGGCCGTTTCTTCAACTGCAGCATCATCAACGTGCACTGCCCACACGAAGGGAGACCCGACGACGAGAAAGAAGCGTTCTATGCGCAGCTGGAGCAGGTGTACGGCGCACACTTAGAAATAACTACTTTTACACGAGACGTAATCCATATTGGACGTAAATCATAGAACGTAAACAAACATTTCGTGTAAAATTAAGTGTTCTCAAACCGAAACATCAGCTAGTCGACGAAGAGAACGTTTGATTGAATTGATTTTCACGTTTCTTTCAACTGATTCTTATGTCAAAAGGCCCGCTTACATGTGTCGGTCTCAGGGAACCGAAATTTACATGACTTTTTAGTAGTGTGCGGCTGTTCGCAACGGGACGTTAAAATAGTCATCGGCGACATGAACGCTCAGGTAGGACGGGAGGCAATGTATAGACCGGCAATCGGGCCGAACAGCCTGCATGCCATATCGAACGACAACGAACGAACGTGAACTTTGCGCCGCTAGAGGCGCTTCACTTTTATGTTACTATAATAAATGGATCTTAGGTCCAACATAGAATATTCTGTGATCCTGGCCATATAGAAAGTTACTGTCTTCAGCAAAGCTGTTCAAGTGACCAAGTCCTTTCGGATGGTGGCCATTAGAGTGATGCAAAATTTGAAATTTTCGCTCCACAATACTTAAACGAATTAAAATCGGATCCTGACTAACCTCTCAAAATTTCAACTCATTTAGTGAGAAACTGAGATGGCACAAACCATTTGAAGTTTGTATGGGAATTACTATGGTGAAACCAAGATTTTTGTTCATGTCTATCTAATAATTCACCATATCGGTCTGCTTCAAAAGCTTTCAACTGTACTTATAGGAATTTTTTTCCAGCTACAACTTTGCTCAAGACTACTTTTTGATTAAATGCGAGGATCGAAAGTTATCAATGGTTCAATGCGCTGATGTCTTATGATCATGCTCAATCAACTGCTCAGCAGGCAACATTGGTGTTTCTGGGGCATTGAATAGGACACAAAAATCATGGCTACTATGTCACACTGCAAAATACAGTGTTGCCTACAGAGCAGCTGCTTGATCATGTCATAAGTTTATCAATCTCTTAAATAATTAATAACATTTTCTTGTCTCGTTTTACGTAGAAACGATCTTCAGCAAAGTTGTAGCTGAGAAAATGTTCTATAATAATGGCTATCGAACTGTTTCGTAGCTCAATATGGAAAAAGACTAGAAGGCAATGAACAAACAGTTGAGATTTCCCATAGTAATTTACATGTAAACTTCAAATGGCTTGTGCGAAGCCTGTTTCTAACCAAATGAGTTGCAACTTTGGGAGGCTAATCAGGACCCGACTTGAAACCATTTAAGCACTGTGGAGCGAAAAAGTCAAATTTTGCATCAGTCTAGTGGCCATATTAGTTCAGAACTCTCTCACTAAGCAGCGCTAGTGTGCATATGAGCTTGCTATATAAGCTGTATCTCAAAATCCTGGCCATATAGAAGGTTACAGACTTCAGCAAAGTTGTTCAGGTGATAATGTCCTTTTGTATGGTGTTCATATTAGTTCGGAACTCTCTCAATACGCAGCACTAGTGTGCATGTAAACTTCCTATATAAACTGTATCTCGAGAACCTGGCCATATAGAACGTTGCTGTCTTCAGCAAAGTTGTGCAGGTGACCAAGTCCTTTCGGATGGTGGTCATATTATTTATGAACTCTCTCACTACGCAGCGCTAATGTGTACATGAACTTCCTTAATATGTTATGCCTGGAAAGTTTGTCCATATAAGATGTTGCTGTGCAATGTGAGGACACGCAACGGAATAGGGAAGACTTGTAGAGATGCTGTTAACAGGAGGGTGGTGAGCCTGTCATTCTACATATACATGGCGCGTTACGAACAAGTGCCAAGATTTTGGTACTTAGGGTTACCATATTTTCTGTGATAGAGTGACCAGAGAACTTTTCTGAATGTTTTTATTTTTTTGCAAGCATTTGAAAAAGTTATTTTTGTCATCGGTGTCAAAAAATGATCGGTAAAAGTGTTGATAATATGTTTAATGGAAAGTGTGTTTGTTTTTTTTTTGTGTGCTTGGAAACTAAATTTAGACAATCCCTTTGCTGGATGAGTTATTTGTGTGATAGTAGACATTAAACATTGTCGTATTGTTGAGTCATCGCTTCGTACAGAAAAAAAAATTGGATCTAATTAAATGCTTTTGGTTGGGAAACAGTGTTATTATTAGTTGGTATGTTATGTGTAAACTAAGCGTTTAGGGGTTGTTTGATTGGAGGCAATTTATGATTGTACGCCTTATGTTGGTGTGGTTTTTAATTTACCACCCAACTAACAATTTTCACAATGTAAACGCTTTACTCATTTCATTTATACAGTCTCAAGCTGTATTCAAACGTTATACGATATGAGGAAACCTTTACTCAACCTCTATACAAGCAAATCTGGCGAACTTAGTCAGCTACTTATGGCTGTTGGAACGGTCGGGAGAAGCTCTTATTGCATATTCATTAACGCTTCTATACAGCTGTTAGCCTGCTGTTTAGTTGTGTGTGAACTTGAAAGGCGCTTATTCAACCTTTTCCCGGTTATCCAATAATCACTACACAGCTTTCTCTTGAAGCCGGGTTAAATACTGTTTACGCTTTTTTATGAAGGAATTTATTGAGTTTATTTTGCTGTGAATCAAATTAATCGAAATTAGTTACAAATCATCACCAAATTATTTACCCTGCACCGGAACCTGGAATCGAACTCGAGACGACCTCATTGGCAAACCTTGACACTACCAACTGTGCTACG